GCCACAGCAGGTCAATTACCAGTACCCTCCTGGATATTCGCACCACAACTTCCCACCTCCGAATTTTAATAGCTTCCAGAACAGCCCCAGCTCTTTCCCGCCCAGCGCTAACAACAGCAGCAGCCCTCATTTTAGGCATCTCCCTCCATACCCACTCCCGAAGGCTCCCAGTGAGAGAAGGTCCCCGGAAAGGCTCAAGCACTATGATGACCACAGGCACCGTGACCACAGTCACGGGCGAGGCGAGCGGCATCGGTCCCTGGATCGCAGGGAGCGAGGCCGAAGTCCCGACCGGAGAAGACCCGACAGCCGCTACAGATCAGATTATGACCGAGGGAGAACGCCGTCTCGCCACCGGAGCTACGAGCGGAGCAGGTAAAACGTGTGTTTTTTAATGAACTGCAGAGGCCCATGCACAGGCCATTTTCTGTTTATCAGCAAACTGAACCGAAAAGGGCCAGCAGTGCCTTTGGATGTATAAAAGGAAATAAAGCTTGTTTTGGGCTGTTTTAAAGAGGAAGAGACAACTGACAAGTAAAGAAATTGATGTCAGAAAAAGCCACTTTTGAAAAGCATTTCAAAGTTATCAACGTAGATCCCTTCAGTGGATGTAAGCTGATTACTCTGCATAATACAGTCGACATTTTAATGATGATCCATTGAAAAATCATATATTTTTTGCTTTGTATTGAATTACATTCAGTATGAACATCACATCAGGTTACAGCACTCGAATTCTTTTGGAATTAATGATCTGCCCATGTTATCAATTAAGAATCAAACTGGTTAAGCAGAACTTGCTTTCTGGTTTTTAGAATAAACAGAAATTTATTGTGCATTGTTGCCTTCTTGCTCTGTTTCCTTGTAAAGTGAAATTATATTAGTTATACACTATCAAAGTTATAGTTTCCGAAATAGCATTAACCTACTTTTATTGCACTAAAACAAATTCATACTGAAGAAAATTGTATTTAAAAAATACTGTGCTATTCCGGAGTACATTTCTTTTTTTCAAAAGACCAAATACCTATATATACAAGGCAATAAGGTTCTCAGCAGGTGTTTTTAAACGGAGTCCGAGATGGGCTTCTAGAAATGCTCTGAAGTTATATGCAAAATTTTATGTGTCTGTATGTTTTTCTATAAGTAAATCGGTATCTTACACCAAATTCTCAAGAGGTGGTGTGAGACTGTTACCCCAAAAGTCTAAGAACCGTTGGTTTGGGTGGAAAAATAAAAACACAGGTAATGATTGTACTGATGTTTGTTTGTGCCCTCAGTGAACTCTATGTAGATAAAAAGTTGAGGTTTTTCCACTTGTCCAGCTGATCACTGCTTCGCTTTCTGTCCCCTGTGGTATGTTTACCTTCATTGTCCTGTGGACCTTCCGGGCTGCACATGTGTGAGCTCTGCAGACCGGTTCATGTCAACGTGTCGGTTCGTAAAGAGCTGGAGCCATCAGTTCACTTCTTGGTTTCCGTTTTTCTCATGGCTGTTGGTTTGACTCTGAGTGAATATTTTACCAGTAAGTGGTGATGGTTGTTCTCAGCCCTGAAGAGAGTATCTGGTGCTCGGAAGGTTTGGAAGGAAAGTGTGTTGTTGCTTCTCGCTGATGCAGTGGGAGGTAGAAGGAATGTGTTTCCTGTGGAGATGACGAATTTGAGAGTCGGTTGTCTTTTAAGTCTTTTCAGCATGAATTACTGTTTCTGGTCAGTTTTGTTCTTAATTATTCTGTGATGGACTAGTTAGCAGAGGCCTGGGATAGTATTTTATAGTTTTATGATAAAAATCTAAACTGGAGTTTGCTTCAGACTTTAAAGTGATTGTTAATAATCCTGTCTCTGGGGAAACATTTTGCTGCAAACTTCAACATTCTAGATTGTATTTGTTTTTCTATTTTGGGGGCTTAAATTAGAGCTGAGCTTTTAGGCCTCTGCTGTAAAATCCTAAATTTTTCCATCCCGGCTTAAACTTGGAGTTATGTATTTGTTTGAAGAAACTCAGATGTCTTGTAAATTGAGGATTCTATCAGTAAGTGAAATCAAGTGCCCAAAGAATTACTGTTAATCTCCATTATCCTAAATCACAGCTCCTTTACTTTGAAGCACCTAATTAGGCAGTCAGCTCATCTTTCTCAATGGCCTTTATTTGTATCGGAGTTGTTTTATGTGATGTACTTGGTGTGTCTGCCCTGGAGCCTTCTTAGTGTCATAGCCACAGCGTAATTGGCTCCCTTTGGGGTCTTAGGTAGGGTGTCAGCCATCTGTCTTATATGCTTCTGCGAAATAAACATGAGGCACGTGAAGTCCTCACATAACTTCTAGAAGTATATTGGAAAAACCAGAACTTCACACATTTACACATTAGATTGTGTTCAGTTTATGCAAATTGTGCAGTCTGTCTGCTGGCCACTTCTCCCCTTGCTTCTGGGAGGGAGTGAAGCTCTCCTTTTTCAAATTCCATTTTCCTTCTTTTTCTCCTCCAAAATGCGCTTGAATAATAGTTGCAGGATTGTTTTAGGACAGACTGTTTCTCCAGAAAGTTTGTGAGGAAGCGGGTATATGTATTCGTTACCGTGAATGATCAAGGTGACTCGGGAATGGGAAGAGAAACAGGTGCTGACACTGTGCGCCGCCAGCCTGGCGAGGACGATGCTGTGGATCCCTCGCCAGTGCTTAGGGCGCAGTGACCCTGAAGCTGTGTCATGTGCAGCCGCCGAGAGCCAGGATTATGCACCTGAGGGATACCCTAGTGCTTGCAAGGGTCTTGGGAAAAGTAACCCAAACCACTGTTTTTCTTGCTTAAAAGGGGTTCAGCATATTGTTTCTAAGGTGATTTATATCCACGTTGGTCTTTTCAGTTCATACCCACTCAGAGGTAGCAGTCATCAGCAGTGCTGTTGTTGAGTGCAAAATCCTATTGCCTAGATGTTAAAAAACCCATTTAGGAATACCCTCTAAATGGAGTTTTTATTTGGAAATGTAGGTAATTTTAATTATTCTTTTTAGCAGCCATGCCACTACAAATTATATCTTTGTCATGTGGTACTGCTCACTAGTTGGGATTTATTGCCTAAAAGTAAACTGTAATTTTAGAAGTGTATCAGATAAGGTATATAGAATCCCAGGTTCTGGCTACTTTATTTTGGATAGCTGGTGTATACCTGAGGCTTATGTATATGTCAAAGCATATTATTCAAAGGAGTCTTCCTTGACGGGGTGATCTTTAAGTGAAAAAACAATTTTTATTTTTTATATCTAAGCAGTGATGGATCTCTATCAGTTTTGTAAGTTTTGATATCAATGTATTTACATTTCCTCTATTTGGCTATAGGTTGGGGGATATTTTTGAGTTCAGAGATTTTTATAGGTTTCTTGCTGTACTCAGGCTGATACAGCACTTTTTTTCATTCTGAGATCAGGTGGCTATTTCCCTTAGATTTAGTTCTGATTCTCATACACTAGAGTTCTGGTTTTTGTTCCAGATCTTCATTGTACTTATTAAATAGACTCAGAAGTTATTATTATTGTTAGATTTTCAGTTTTACCTTGGGAGGTTTTAAAATCCCTCATTCTGTTGTTATATTAATTAAACTCAGGGTCTCCATTGAGAGTTTTTTGCTGATGAAAATCACATTTAAAGGTAAAGTGGCTTACGGTCTCATGGCAGTTAGCGATAGCTACAACCACAAATCAGGCCGATAACCTGTAAGAGTTCAGACCTCTTTGATCATAGAACCTTGTTGTGATCTTTACCACCAAAGCTTTAATTTACATTTATTTGATGGATGAAATTGAGAGTTTCCTAGAAATCAATTGGCAGTAGAATTCTTTAGTTTTCCCCATAGGTTAAATAACCAAGGATTGGCTGGTTGGAAGGTCTCTGGAGATTATGATAAAATCAATTCCCTTTGTTGCTTAGCATCAGGTATGACTTCTCTCTTTAAAGAAAACAGCAAAAAATGTCCAAGTCCATTAACTTCTGTAAAGTGAAAAGCTCTTTATTCTCTAATAAATGAAGGATGAATAAAAGTTTCCCATAGAGAACAGTGCCTGAAAAATTCTTAGGTGAGGTCCATTTATTTAGAAGGTGAATTCAGTGAAAACAGATGGTGTTTTTGAGTCTTTCTGCTGAAAACAGCTCTGTGTATTAATTCCTTTAAGAGAGCGGGAACGGGAGAGACACAGGCACCGGGACGGCCGAAGATCACCATCTCTGGAAAGGTCCTACAAAAAAGAGTATAAGAGATCTGGAAGGTAAGCAAGGAGTTTGCGCTGAAAGAAGTCATAGCATTATCTCCTTGAATTCAGATTTTGTGCTTATGCAAAGTATCAGCCACCTCTTCAAAACAGCCTAAGAGTTTTCCAAAATGCCCTGTGAAAAGCTAAAGCAGCCACTGATTTAAAAATCTTTACTTTCAAGATGTATTGATTATGTACAAGGAGAATCTTGATAAATTTCCAGAAATTAAAAATTATATGGGCCACTTTTTCTGACGTCAATTGCTATCAAATGATACATTAATAATTCAAGATTTTAAAAAAAATACCCCTCAGAAATTCATAATTATGTTTTTTAAATTTACTTATTTTAGAAAAAAGCAAAACTGTAATCACACTTTATTTAGAAAATGACATTGAGATTGTTATAAACTAAAATTTCCAGGATGTAACCAGTTTTATACTGAGAAGTAAAATTCATGGTCTTACATAATGGTAATTAAGAACAATACTGTGGAGTCTGACAGATTTGGGGTCAATTATTAATTCCCCCAACTTTGTTATTGGATTAAGTTATGAAACCTTTTTAAGCTTCAATGTCTGTCTAGAATAAGGACACTTATCAGTGCCTTGAGTGGTGAGGGGTCATTGAGATAATATACGTAAACACAAGAACTGGGCCCAAAGTTAATGCAAATCAGTGGTAACTCTATATCTATATAATTATCACCTGATCATTTGGCTCTAGAAATTGGTAGAATACAAGAAAAGCAGAAAAAAGGATTTAAAGATAAAAGAGATTAATGAAATAGAAAACAGAACTATAGCACTGTAACAATTTGTAAATAGATGCAAGACTTCTTTGAAAAGTCATACAATTTGAAAAGTGGCAAATCAAGAAAAGAAAAAAATACATTGCATTAGTTATGAGAAAGTGTATAATTATAGGAATGAAGGAGAGATGTTTTATTTTAAAAATTTAGAAACTTGGATGTGATGGGTTGATTTCTATGAAAACAAAAATTACAAACTTCACACAAGAAGCAGAAAATTTTAATAGGCCAGTGACCATGAAAAAAATGGAAAAAGTTGAATTTGTACCACTAAAATTTTTTTAACTTTTTAAAANAGAGAGAGTAGAAGGGAGGGAGATGGGGAAAGAGAGAGAAAAACATCTACTGGTTGCCTCCAGAACTCACCCTGGTGGTGGGCGGGTAGTGGGAATCGAACCCAAGACCCTCTGGTCCGCAGGCCGATGCTCTAACCACTTAGCAACACTGGCCAGGGCTATAACTAACTTTTTTGTGTCAAAATCAATAGGCTTTTCTCAGTACCTGCCTATTAGATATTTCAAATAAAACCAGCATCGATTTATGAGTAGAAACTTTGGTAAACTAGCAATATAAGCAGACTTCTTTAAGTCTACTTATAACATAATATAGAACATTATCTCATAATGAACATAGTTGTCAACATCTCAAAATAACCAAACTTAATGTTGGAACCTTACAGTCCTTCCCATACAAGTTAGAAAAAAGGGGAGGCTCCATTGCCTATCGCTGTCGCCTAGCATTGTATAACTTAACAGCAAATGAAAATACATCACATTACTGTGTGTCCCGATATTGTACTGGTGCAAGTGATATAGTTGTTAACAACAGTCCCACTTAACAGGAATAAGAAAGTTAAGTGCTGTGAGAAGTGCTTTTAATAGAGCACGTACATGTTGCTCTGGGAACACAGTGGTGAAAAAGTCTAGGGCAGTCATAGAGAGATTGACATTTTACTGATAACTGGATATGCGCAGGGATGCGTTAGGGAAGGAGGGTGGCAGGGGAGAGAACAGCACATGCGAAGGGTAAGTCTGGAGGAAATGAGTTTAGAAGGCATTTGTAGTAATTCCAAAAGATGATTGTGCCTAGACCTGGGCAATGACCGTCGTAATGGGGAACAGCAGAGGTAATTGAGATGTATTTGTGAGAGTCAGTAGGACTTGGTAACTCATGGTGAGGGAAGAAGACAACAGGGCCATCACCTGGACCTGGTGTTCCCCACTGAGGGCGGGGACACTAAGAACGGCAGGAGGATGGCTTCAGTCCTGGGCATGTGTAGTTGAGAATCCGAGACAACCAAGTGGAATTGTGTAGTAGTCAGTAGGTGTAAAATTCAGAAAAGAGATCCCAATGGAAAAACTAGATGCCATGGGTTAGATGCGATGAACTAGGAGCGTTTGTTCAGTGAGAAAGGATAGGCGGAGGGGGAGATGAAAGATAAAGATTAAAAAAGCCAGGATATCGTGTTGGTGGAAACCACTGGGCACCCAGTGGAGGCCGATCATGTTTCATGTTGAGTGCTGGAATTCCCTTCAGTCTAGTGGTTTCTTCTCCAGTGCCTGGTAGCTTGTGGAGAAGACAGAGACTTGGATTCTGTGAGTTCTCACTAATAGATGAGAGAAAACTAGAGATGTAAATACTGTAAAGGAGTTTGTAATATAGGAAATTGTTAAGAAACAGTTTTGAGTTTGGATTTTGAAATTTGCAATGTCTGAGGCACCTAAAAAAGATGTCCTGTTACAAAAAGAGAAAAGAATAATTAATGTTCAGAATAGTCAACCCTGACCATCCATCCTTCAATGTACCTGCCTGGAGGGGAGGGATGAGGCTGCCTTTTGCCTATGATTCTTGATAATAGGAAACATTTGGTGGGATTTTTAGTACAGGTAAAAATGTCTGTGCCAAACAACCATATTAGCATGTACCGCTCACTAGCTTTGTGATATTGGGCAAGCGACATAACCTCTAATTCTCTTTCCTCTGGAGGGGATGTTCATATCTGCCTCCTAGCATTCTTGTAAGGATTAAATAAGAGTGTCAATAAAGTGCTTAGCAGAGTGTCAGGCTCGCAGAAAGCACCAAAAACACACAAAACCACACCACCAGGAGCTAAGTTGCCATTATTAGCTAATAGTGTTATCAGGAAAATTCAAGTGGATCAGCTAAGAAACAATGAGAATTAACCACTGAAGCTGAGGGTTATGAAAAAACATACTGAAGTTAATAGCCTTCCTAAATAAACCGGGAATACCTGCTTAGAAAGTGTAATGGGAAAAAGAAGTAGATTCACTACAGAACATTTATATTAAAATTAAATATCTTAATAAAACTTAAAAAACATATAGGTCAATGGGAAGAAGATACAAATGTAGCTGATGACAAGGTGATATAAACGAGTGGAGGATCTTGCTCCCATAGTGGAAGACAGTGTTGTAAGAATAGCAGTTTTCTTTAAAATTACCTAGAATTTTAGTGTAACCAGTTGAAGTATGGGTTTGAGAACTCCATAAGTCAAATTACTTGGAACAGAAGTGAGAACACGGAAGAAAAATGAGAATGTAGCTTTACTAGGATTAAATGTCCTATAAACACATAAGAGTTAAAACAATTTGATGTGGGTATAAATAGATCAATGAAACCAATATTGAGCAGCAAGTAACTGAAGAAAATATAAAATATTTATTTAACCTTGAGATGGGAAAGGATTGTAAACATAATGCTAAGGAGGAAGCACACATTTAAAAGTTTACAGATTTGGCCAAATAAAGGTTATAGGTAGCAATGAGCAGATGGAATTTAAAAGGAAAACAAAAAACTGAAAAAGGTTACATTACATACATATGACAGAAGAAGGGTGATTATCTTAATAACAAAGTCTTTCAATAAGTAAAAAGGACTGCAACCCGAATTTAAAAAATATTGGCATAGCATGTGACCAGGAGGTTCATGAAAGAAGTGAACGTGAAATGTGTAATTTCGGTAGTGATAAAGATTAGCAAGTTAAATTTAATGAGATACTTTTTTCATCAGAATGGCAAAGATTAAAAACAATCATGCCAACAGGGTGTGCGGAAATGGGAACTCGATACGGTTTTGATGGTGTCTAACCTGGTACTACCTACCTGTAGTGAAGCCTTGAGAAAAAGTGTACACACACACACTTTATGTGAGNTGGTGTCTAACCTGGTACTACCTACCTGTAGTGAAGCCTTGAGAAAAAGTGTACACACACACACACTTTATGTGAAATCATCCAACAAGTGTGCAAAGAACACAAGTGTGTTCATGGTAGCGTTGTTTATAAGGGAAAAAAAAAAAAAATGGCAGCAACCTAAATGACTACGATCAGATTTGTTAAATTATGGGGTATATATATATATATATGTCTATATGAAAGAATAATATGCATTTATTAAATGGCTCAGATATAGATGTATTGGAATAGAGAGGTGTTGATTTAGCGCTGAGTGAGAAGGACAGGTGATAGAGTTTTTTTTATTAAAGCTTGTATATATTTATATATATTCCTATATCTGTATGTTTTAACACATTTGTGAAATATAGTGGTTATCTTTGTGGTGACGTGGGTGATTTTTGTTTTAATTTTGTTAATGCTTAATTTTCTTTTTCTACAGTGAACGAATATACACTTTACTTTGCAGTGACTTTTTTTCTGGTCAGATGTTGTGCATTGTAATGTTTAGAAGTTATCAGTTATTCAATATATATAATCTTCCTAATCACCCACCCCTTCTCCTATGTGTACACACCTACACACTCACACTTTCCCTGCCATAAAATTAGAAGTTAGTAGTAGAGTTGATGGGGAGAGTTCCCTCGTGACTTTGATCCGGATGCAGACTTTCTTGGTGACGGCACCTTTGTTAGTGGAACTGCAGAGGCCGCCAGCGTAGCCTCACAGAGCAGTCCCTCCCCTGGGCTGGACTCTCAAGGTCCGTATGCTCCCACCTAGGTTTCTTGGGCTTAAATTAAAGTCTGTCCTGTAGGTTTTCCTTCCAAGCACATCTGTAGGATGGGCCTTTGCGAATTTCAGACCCCAGAAATTCGAGGAGATGGAGTTGTTTTTACCCTTTTTAACCAAGTTAGTATTTGTGTTTGTGGGTATCAGCATTCGGGAAAGTGGTGGTTCATGAGGTAGTAATACTAGTACCCACGTGTGGGATCCCAGAGGGCGGTTAGGGCTGATGGGACTGGTTCACTGCTAGGGTGTGGTCCACTTTACGTCCAGTGTTTTGTGGAACCTTCTTGCCCCGGGCATTGCAGGATGGAGGCCAATGCAGGAACTGGGGCTCTCATTGGGGAACTGCCTGTATGCAGAGATTTCCAAATATCCTCCAAGTGTCTCTCTTTTCTAGGAGTTACGGTTTGCCACTTGCTCCCGAACCCACTGGATGCACACCAGAATTACCTGGGGAGATTATTAAAAATACAGATTCTTGGGCCCCACCCCCGGAGACTGTGAATCAGTAAGTAGATCTGGGGTAGGGCCTGGGAATTTGTATTTTTAAACAAGTCGCTTCAGGTGATTCTGATGCCACCAGACTGGTGTTTGGGATTGGCCGGTTTAACGAAAAACGTGGCGGTTTGGCATGGTGCTGTCACTTTAGGCGAAACGTGAGCTGAGCAGGTGAGACAGAACCGTCTCACAGCAGACGGGCTTTTTAATACTTAGCCTCCATCACCCTCTTTTGAAGCCGCTCCCCAAGTAGGGAGAAGAAGAGGCCTCGCTGGGAAGAAGAAAAAGACCGATGGAGCGACAGCCAGGGCTCGGGCAAAGAGAAGAGCTTCCCCTCCGTCAAGGAGAAGGAGCTGGAGGAGGCGCCGCCCGACAGGCCCGACGAGGACGAGGAGCTCCTTAAGCCCGTGTGGATTCGCTGCACCCACTCGGAGAGCTACTACTCCAGCGACCCCATGGACCAGGGGGTAGGTCGGGGCCCGGGGCTGCGGGCCCGCCTCTGCCCGCCTCTGCCCGGCGCTGTGGGCGCACTGTCTCCGCTGCGGCTCGCCCTGTGCGGCGGGGCGTTGAGCGGCATCTTTGGGCTCTGCGCTAGATGGCAGAACGCCTCCCCACTTGTGATAACCAAAACTCTTTATTGTTTTTTATGTTTTTGTAAAAATTTTTTATTGGTTTCAGAGAGAGGAAGGGAGAGGGAGAGAGAAACATTAGTGATGAGAGTCATTGATCAGCTGCCTCCTGCACACCCCCTGCTGGGGATCGAGCCGGCAACCCGGGCATGACCCCCGACAGAGAATTGAACTGTGATCTCCTGGGTCTTGGGTCGACGCTCAACCACTGAGCCGCACTGGCTGGGCCCAAAGCTCTTAAGACATTGCCAGATGTCCCCTGGGGGGTGCCCCCCACCCCATTTGAGAACCACTGCTATAGACAAAAGCTGTTTTCCAAAGGCAAGAGTGCAGTAGGTTGATTAACCTTTATTGGACGAAAGGGAACTTTAGTTCCCGGCAAGGAGTGGGCCCCGCTGGCCGAATTTAAATGCTGACGGAATTTAAATGCCGTCTTTTAAAGGTTAAAGTCTCCATTCTGCATTTTTTATGACACTGCTAGTCTTGACACTGGTGGTTTTGTAAACTCCCACTTGTATAACTACTTTATGCAGTTTGTAGTGTGTGTGTGTGTGTTTACCCCAAAATGGGAAATAAGCAAAAATCTGAGTTTGTATCTTAAGTCCCTTCTTGACCAGAGATAACCATGGGAAGTTTCTCATGCATATTGGCTGGTTTGTGCAGTGGCAGGTATGGTCACTTTTAATGGGCTCTTGAGAGACTCAGAGATTCATGTTTGTGAATGTTGGCAGAGTGCACCCCCCTGAGGACTGTGTCACCTGTAGATGTGTGTTTGATTCACAGTTACCAGCATTGGGCATTTTGTTTTTACCTGTTTGTTAAATTGAGGGTTGAAAATGGCACCTTGCTGTTACACGGTTTTGGTTACTAGTGAGGTCTTATGTTTCTTTGGAAAGACTGTTTTTAATATAGTTTCTAATACTGATCCTTTTTTTTCAAAGGGAGATTCTACTGTAGTTGGAACAAGTAGGCTCCGGGACTTATATGACAAATTTGAGGAGGAGCTGGGGAGCCGGCAAGAAAAGGCCAAAGCTGCGAGGCCCCCATGGGAGCCTCCCAAGACGAAGCTGGATGAAGATTTAGGTGAGTCAGAAGCTGCCAGGCCAGGCCCTGTGCTTTTATTGTTGCTTAATCCTGGGTTTTAGGAATGTGTCCCTGGGCGTCCCCGATTAAAGTTTCCGTTTTTTCATTTTATTTTCCGTAATTATAGTCAGCAAAATACATAGCAATGGAACTTTCTTCTTTTCAGTGTTAGTTTTTCTCAGCCACATTCAGCAGAATACATAAAGGATCTCATTTGCATGGCACGCTAGCAGTTGGGTCCCTTGTAGGACTGTCTAGCCTTAGAATCAGAGGGACCATAGTCTAGCCTCCCGCCAAAAGCGGGGGCCTGGTCCCGGTTCCTGGTGCCTCCTACAGGCAGGCCTCCCCTCGGGGCCCCGCCCGCTGTCAGGCGCTCCTGGCTTGATGAGGAAATGCAGCTGCAGCCCAGCTCTGTTGGAAGGTCTCTCTCTACTCACGTAGATGCTTTCCACAGCCTTTTCACATGGTGCTCTGTTTTCCCATGTCAGGTTCCAGGTAGATGCGGGGATCTTTGAGGATAGAAGCTGCCTTTTACCCCTTCACATCCTTGGCCCCCAACAGGATGCCATGCACAGACGGGGCATTCCTCGTGCGTTTTCCTTTGTTCCCTGGCTCTCTGCCGCCTTCGTTGTGTGTCCTGTGCTGAGAGGTGGTGTCCGCTGTGGGCGAAAGCACTGACTGACCCGGCTGGCCTGGGCTCGAATCCCTGCTTCTTCACTTGGCATGTGACCTTGAGCAAGTGATTTAACCATCTCTGTGTGCCTCCCTTTTGTCACCTGTAAAACAGGGATGCAGTGCACTTGGAACTAGAACTGTGTAAGGGTTGGGCCTCATTACTGTGCTGCATGCATTAATGTCTGGTGGATGAGGCCAAGTTCTAGGTTTGTGTTTTTTTTCCTAACTCTTTTTTAAAAAAATTTATCTTTATTGTTGAAAGTATTACAGATATCCCCTTTTCCCCCCATTGTCCCCCCCTTCCCCGCCCCAGGCCTTCACCACTCTATTGTCTGTATCCATGGGCTATACACATATGCATTCGAGGTCTGTTTTTTAATTGTGCTAAAATGCACATAACACAAAATCATTTTTAAGTGGACAGTTCAGGAGTGTTAAACACATTCACCATGTTGTACAATCTCCAGACTCTTTTTATCCTGCTAATCTGAAACCCTGTTCCCATTAAACAGCAACCCCCCCCCCCCC